AGACGATGGAGTCACGATAGCCACCTCTTGAAACACGCCTCCTGGATTCCTTTGCTAGCCACAACCAGGTAAATTACCAGGACTGTCATCTTCTTGGTAAGTGAATTATGTGGATTGTATTTCACTTTGTATCTTGTGAATTTATGGCTTGTATGCAGGTGAAAAGAAGGCAACGAAATACAATGAATGAATTTATGGTATTCTGGTGAACCTGTTGTTCTAGCTTTGTTAAAATTCTCCATTTTTATTTGTAATCAACTTCAGCTGAACATAAGAGGTGGATGTTTTATAAATGTGATCTAAAAGGATCACTCCGTTGGAAACGGCAGGCATCAGTTCAAATTACTACTTCATTTGAAGGTCCAGATGACTTCACATTTGTTATTCAGCTTAATGTACAGATGCGACTCGTCAAAGTGATTCTGAGGGTCAACCTGAAAAATACTAAAATAGCCAATTAGGATGCTTGAATTTATTCAGATATATGTTGCACTAGGAACCCAAGGGACAAATAATAATAGTAGTAATAATAATAATATACGTTGGATTAAATGTGACTCTTATGACTCAGTAGATGACGCAGCGTTACTTGAGATGACAAGACCAGATAAAAAAAAGATACACCTGGCTCTCGTGTCCTAAAGAGAACGAAATAAGCATCCTCCAGGCAGACAGATAGAGACTATATCGAAATGGGATTCGAACAATCACTGTGTAATAGTTCAATTTTTTTTTCACACCTCATGTCAGCTCTAATCAATAACTACTGACCATCTTAAAACCTTATAATCTTATTTTTGATGGTGTCAAGGTTAGACATTGTATGATTCAACTGTGTTGGTAAACTTTTTCACAATAAATTCACATGTCTTGTATTCTTGAACTGGTTTCATATGACCCTGTTATCAGATAATATAAAGATGGTTTGAAAAAATAGTTTTAGTAAGATAGAATATTGTTTATTTATTATTCGAATCATGAACTACATTCAGGCTACTGGTAATAATGGTCACTTTTTTAGTTCTCATGTGAAGGTTAAGAATATAGTACGAAAGGTTGCTGAAATTGTTGATCGTCTAGATTATTGATTTATACTGCTGAACTGGTCAGTGACATATTGGCTCTGTGTGTGTGTGTGTGATTTGATAACCGTCCATCATCTAATCCTGGTGGTAGCTACTGATGGTCAGTCATCAAATCAAAAAGCGTGTTTCATCCTATCTAGGGCTCTTCATTTGACTGTACCTAAGTCCCAGTGAAATGCTTTGATCTTATTGAGGCTGGAATCAATCACTAGTAGGGACCGATGAACACTACCGGTTAATTAGCAACAGAAAAGATAGTAGACTTCAATAACAACTGATACTTTGTTGAACACGAGTTGGCTTTCACAACTTATTAATCTGGCAGATAACACTGTGGAATTTGAAACGATGCTGCCTGTGATTGATTCTGACTGAAAACATCGTAACACTTGGTTGCAAGTAGATCTTGACAATGAGGAATAATTAGTCTTCTTGATGAATTTGCATAATGTAGTAAAAAGACAGAGGCTATCGGAGAAATGTGATATATTTGAGCAATACACTCCGAATAATCTGATCACACATTAGCCTAGTCAAGGCATTTTATATAAAGGATGACAATACGGTGGGTGGGTAGTGTCAGAGATCTGTCTACAGAAAAAGGTATGGAGTGGATAGTATCTCCATTTCAACAGTTTTGTCCTATGAATTATAGTCAGCAAGGACTGGTTAAAACGCTATTCAAAGGGCTAAGAAACGTTGTTCATCAAACAAACTGACTGAAGAAATTCAGTTCATCGAGAGATATTTGAAAGAAAATGCTTACTCTATGAGAACATCGGTTCTCAGAAGAAATCAGTGTTCATCTATACAACTTTCAAGTGGAATGAATGTATAAACCGTGTTAATAGAAGAACAAGAACTGCACTAAAAATCATTAATATGGGAGTAAAACTTGGTAAATTGTAATTCCATTTTAGTCTGTTTATTAGAAATATCACACAGTGAAGAAACAGTATCATTTACTGGATAACGACGTTTCGGACACAATTTATTGTCCATATTCAAATCAGATAACTCCACAACTTCAGGAAATAATTTATATAGTCCTAATCTTCTCTCCCTTTATGTCAAGGCTAATAGAATTTTCTATATAACTGCTGCAGGTACAGACTCATTTCTGTTGCGTGTATTTGGTGTTGATTTGATCAACAAAGATTCAGTTATTTCAAGTTGTTATTCATCGTAGACTGATATCAGTTGGAGCAACAAAGGAAACCTGGGAGCACTGGACAGCTGTTTCGTCCTAGTATGGGACTCCTCAGCAGTGCGCACCTGAAGGTCTCGGGTTCGATGTCTGCTGGTGGGGTCGTGGGTGCGCACTGCTGAGGAGTCCCATACTAGGACAAAAAAGCTGTCCATTGCTCCCAGGTTTCCTTTGTTCCTCCAACTGATGTCAGTCTACGATGAATAGCAACTTGAAATAATTCCAAATCTCCACAACCCCTCAAAATTAAATTCAGATATTTCCCTCCACTCAACTAAGTTAGTCTATAATACTGTCACTCTATCCCATGCTACTGTGCTATTGTGTGTAATTCCGTGGAGAGCTACAGTCGAGCTTTTCTCTAAATTTCTCATCTTGTTAGGATCTACTAATCTTGATTCAGATAGGCTTTTATGCTCTGTTATTCTTATTGGCCCTGGTCGACTACTTTATTCAATGTATTTGACCTCTCAATGATTGCAAGGGATGTAGGAAGTGAGACTGCTTAATTGCATCAATGTGATCTCTTAACCTACAAAGCTTGTTTCTCAGCAAGTTCATTGGTTTAAATGCTAGCCACTTTAATCCCAGACAGTCTTATTGAGAATTCTTGGTGATGCTTCTGAGGTGCCTTCCTTGTATGGTAACACAGAAGGGGTTTTAAATTCTCTCTCAACTCGATCACCATGATTACTATTAGTAGTAGAATTATTATTACTAACACCTGTTTTAATACTATCACTGCTAATACTTTTGTTTCTATTTCTTATAAAGGTATTTATGAATTTAGGTGGATAATTACTGAGGTGCAGGGTGTTCTTGATGTGTCTAATTTCTTGTTGTAAATCTTCTGGTCTACTAGTGAGGTTTTTCGTCCTATCATTTAAGCATTTAACTAAACCTACTTTAACTGAAATTGGGGTGGGATGGTTTGAAGTCCAGGTGGCGATTCAAATGGGAAGGTTTCCTATGAACACTAGTCTCTAAACTTCCGTCTTCTTTTCATTCATTCTTGCAATGCAATATTGCTAACTCACCTTCACCACTTTCTAAGTCACAGGTGGATTGGATTCCACTTACTTCTGAATTTATATATGCGAAGAACCTTCTGATGTGTCCTGATTTGAGTACTGTGAATGTGTCATCTACATATGGGGACGATAACTTTGGAGTAGGATTAAATGTCTGAAGGGCCATGCGTCACCCAACTGTCCATAAATATGTCTGCGTCGATAGAAGATATTTATGATGTCATGACAACCTACCCAGTTTGTTGATATATTTTATTTTGAAACTTAAAGACTGTAAGTGTTAAGCATAATCGTACTCCTAGCATGATTTTCTCGATCGAGGAGATAGGCTTAAGATGACAAAAGCTTACGCATCAAACTTATATGCCGATTAAGTAAAGGAGAAAGGTTTTGTTTAGCATAGTAGTAGTCTACCACGGTGATTTAGACTTTGTACACAAAAATTTATGAAAAACGATTGCATGCATTCGCCAACGAGTTGCATCTGCATGCAGTGGGTAACAAGCCTCATCTGTTATGTGAGTGCTAGTGAAATTGGCTGGTTGACCAGATTCCGGTAGGTGGAGTGGATTTTCAAACTCTGATCAAACCATTAGACAAAGTCGACTACCTATACAGATGAACCTTAGTTAGTTCCAGGTTACGAATAAGCAAACTAAAGCATAGTAATCAGTTCATGAAGTCTTTAACTTTCCATTTGAACCGTGTATGCGAATATAGACAATTTAGGCTTGTTTCAACGTGACAATCGAAATTCATAATCACAAACTCTTGGTAATAGTGTTGAAAATTAATTACAACTATACACTATGTGGATCCTTAAGACCATTTCATATTCTTTTTCTTATTTTATGACTTTGTATGATTTTCGTTCACGTTATTCCCACTTTTCCATGTTTAATATGTTGATGTAAAGTGTGGCAAATTGAATCATTGAACACATCAGTCAGATTCTATCTTGATACTGAACTTACTGATAATATTGATAATAATAATAACAATAATAATAATATTAGTAAAATATAATAATAGTAATGATAATGATAATGACTTTATTCCAAACATCGTCTATGGTACAGTATGGAATTTTCAGCATGGAATATTTCAACAAATTCGTTTTCCGCACAATATTTTCAAAAGAAATAATTATTGTGTATGCCTAATGTTAATAATAATAACAGTATGGAAAGGCATAAGGGTGAAACGGGCAGCTAATGTTACATCAGCATCTGTTCTTTATTCAGAAGTTAACACAAAACCGAGTATAATTTTGACGTTGGCAGTTCAGTCAACCAGCAGAGAGATTCACAATCCCCATACACGTATCCTAAGAATAGTAATGTAGTGTATTTATGAGCATTTACAAATTCATTTCCAACCGTTGGAACATTTTTCTTTTGTTTTATTCTTAGCTTGAGAAATGACAGTTCGAAAACATTTTGAAAATGTGCGAGAGTACATGATGTGTTTAGGAAATATTTGAAAGATTAAAACAAACTTAAAGGAAAGAATTCGATGGGATATAATTGGTGAAAAGTTTGCTATTAGCCCAAGATTTAGGCTGGTCACCTTAAATCTTAGCTTGTTGAATTAAATACAAATATACCGCCTATGTTAAAAAAAAATTCTTTTTTAGCAAAAAAGGATCATTTCAATCCGTTATATTGTAACTTTTAGGTTTAGAAAAATTCCCAGTTGTCCAACATTTTCTCTTCGGTAGCCTGTTACCATTTGATCGAGTAACTAATCCTGTTGGCAATATAACTGATACTTTAAATAGTCAACGAACTTGTTTCCCGGCGAGAACAGATACCTTTAACAAACCTTTATCATCATCTATGACAGCTCAACCAAGTCAACAAAGTGAACATCCATGAAACAATGATTCAACACAAGAATAGGATAAAGAAAGAGATGATGGTGATGATTATAGTTGTATATTACAATGAACTCCTCCCCCCTCTTTCCCCCCCCCCCCCCCCCAATGAAACACAATAAAACTTCAAAGCAGATTTTGTTCCTCTGAAATCTCAGTTTTCTCCATGATTATTGATTGCGAGTAATTTCTTTTTGTCTAATTTATCGATAACAAAGTAGACATTTCTTTCAGCTCTTTACATTGTCATGTTCCCTTCAATTTTGAGGTTTTTAGGGATTTATATATTGATTTTAGGTAAGTGGGAAATAGGAACCATTGGATTTTTCAACCAAACGGGTTTTAATGGTAACATGCTATCCGTGGAACGTGAAGGCTTTCATTTCGATCCCTGGAAGGTGGGGTTATCGGTGCGCAATTCTGAGGAGTCGCATCCTCAGACGAAACAGCTGTTCAGTACTCACAGGTTTCCAATGTTTTTCCAACTTATGTCAGTCTATGATGGATACCAACATGAAATCACAATTTATACTCCTTTAGAAAGAGATTTGTTTCATTATTCTATATGAATTTGTCTAAAGTGAAACATAACCAGTTGACGGTCAAGAGTAGTATGGATTTTTAAGTGGGAAAACGTTTTCTTTGATTCCAGTTTCAATAATCAGCCATCTAGATATAATGTGACTAGAGAACATTATTTTGTGGCATAATATTTGATTGTTTAGTTGTTGAAAATTTGCCAATGAAAGTCATCATTATGAAGACTCCTCATTATTCTGTGGAATATTATCTATATTGTGTGCATAGAAAGATTTTCAATATGGATTCTTCATATGCATTCAGGTGGTTAATCATACGGAGGTTGGTTTGTGTTAAGTGATTCGTGACAACAAGCCTTGCTTGGTTTTGCTTTCGTATTTGTTAGCACTCGTCACTGAGACGTATCTGATGTCCCATCTGAGATTGGAACTCGTCTCACCATTTAGCTGTTCGGCGGTTACGTCCACTCACTTCAACACTAAGTGATGCGGGTTAAAATCTCAAAGTGAACATCATTTCCCTTGAAGTTGCAGATACTCTTTACTGACGAGTGCTGAAGAGTGCAAAACTTAGGTTGAACAGAGTTGCCTGCTGATTACCTCTAACCAACTAACATCCATCAATGTGCCCGTGATGGTTAGCCTGGTAGCTAGTTGTTGGCTATATTGCAAAAGTAATCGATGGAATTCGGTCAGCACTAAGAACTAGACAAGATCAAGTTGGTTATTCTCCGGTGTCTATTCATTAAACATTGATTTAGTTTGCAGTGAGATGTACGTATTGTATTAAGACTCAATGGGAGTGTTCATTATTATAACTGCTATAGTTACATGTTTGTTGGATACTCTAACCTAATAGGCATTGAGATTCATTTCAGCAGACAACTTTTTAACCTTCGAATTACCACTGAAAGTCTCTTATATATTTCCAAGAGTTTGTAATCGTTAACCGATAGTCAAATCCGATGATGTTGCTCCTACTGAGACTTGAACTCCAGTACCCACCGATTCTGGATGCCTTAAACACTATATATCATTTGTCTATAAAATCTACTTGAATGATGTGTTTCATTCATGGTTTACATTTATCAAGGTTGAGCAATTGTTTATCAATAACCGACTGTATTGTCCCTAACTTGGTTACTCATTAATTGATTTTATTTAATGAATTTTTTCAGAACTACTTTATCAGTCTATAATCTTCTTTATCAGATAATGGTTGTCGCGATTCTTTTCTTGTCATAGAGTTCATAATAATAGTGACCCTGCGTTTTGTCAGCGTCGTCAACCAACAAGACAATATCGTCTGTGTACTCCAAGTTAACTATATGCCCTTCTCGTAGAGTAAATCCATCCTTATGAAGTTGGAAATACCTAAGGTTATGTCAGTTAATTCATCTGTAACGAGGGTAGACTCCTGTCTACGAGGATTGCCGGAATCGTTGGGGAATACTTGTCATCGATTCAGATAACAACTCTCCATAGCTGCATGAGTTTGATTAGCGTTTTACACTTGCTCTGTATTCGTTTATTAGTCAGACACTGTTACAACACCTCACGGTCGTCGGAGTCAAGTGCCACCTTCATGACGGAAAATGTGGCAATTGTTGGCCGCACGTAGATATGCCTGTGTTCCGGAACCTGTCCAAGGGTGAAAATATGATCTATGTGCCCTTATCTAGGTCTGAAGCCCACCTGGTTTCCTCGAGTTTTCTATTCTTGAGCTCTAGTTAGGTGTCGGATAACTATAGAACCTAGGATCTTCGACAAAATATTAGTCAGACCTAGTTCCTCTGTGGTTGTCACAAGAAGACTTCTCTCCGGTGTTATATACTGGGATTATCAGTGAAGTAGACCATTCTGGTGGGTCTACCCCTGATTTCCATATGCTACCTGATACCTGTGTCAATTTATTTGGCGATTTCTTACCTCCTTCCTCCTACTTTTAAAAGACCGATTGCGTTAACGGACTGCTTCGTGATGAACATGCAAAATAGTTGGGGAAATGATTTAGCAGACTGTTGAGCGCTGATGCATTTGATGACCTAACCACGAAAATAAAAACAACAGGAAGAGAAAGCCTATTCAAGTCAGGTAAGTTGTTGATTAGCAGGGATGAAATATTCTAGTTGGAGTATCCAAAGCCTTTTCCTGGAATTGAGACCTGTGTTCACTATAACTAGAATGCCTAGTTAGTTGCTGTGTCGACTTTCCGGGTATGTTTAGATTTGGTTAAGTAGGAGTATACAACCTTGGTAGTCTGCAATGTTTCTCTGACCGCATTTCTGATGATAGGAGAAACATTAGGATGTTTATCTGTTCAACAGTATGAGGGAAATTTCTTTGCATATTTTCACGTCATAAAGCAGTGGAAGTATTTATTCTTTTGTAGTTAACTACTTATAATTTTAACTAGTAGCTTAAATTCGTGTCCAAAATTTTGTGGTACGACCTAACATTGCACGGCTGAGGTCGCTACATTTCATCTAGAAGTTATCTTGTGTGAATTTGATTTTAGCTTATTCAAGTGAAAATTTGCTGCGAAACGTCATATTTCAATGGCATTTATGTTGATTAATTCTGAAGTTAGGCTTAGAGTTATACAAAGAGCATGGAAAGGTAGATGATAAGGTCATCATATCGTCATATATTTAGTTGTACCCTTGACATGTATATTCTAATGAAGTTTTGATATTATTATCTTCCAAGGTGAATCATGTCAATTAATATACTACTGACTGGCATGAGTAGTAGTAGGCCACTCACACCGATCAAGATGATGTAAACACCAGACGCCAATTTCACTCGTTTGCGATCGAACTTGTCAGCGGTTTCCCCAACTTGATTCGGCCAATTGAGCCTAATTGTTGAAAGCGCCCGAACTCTGGTTCACTAAATGAGCATACTAATCATGCATACAGTCAAATAAAGTGACTGCAAAAATATGCAGTCTATGATGAGAATTTTCATCATAGTTTTTTCTACTGAACCCAAAATATTCAAATCACATAGTATAGTCTACTCAACACCACACTTGCGTCTAATTCACTTAGTGGAGTACATGTAAAGGTAATGATACGGTTGAGATTAATTTGGGATGTATATCTATTTCGTTTGAGGTTTGTCAGGATTGTATTTATTTCACGGACTGACATCATTTGGAGAATCATTGAAAACCTGGGATCATAGGTCCTGAGTCCGATGCCTGGCCTATATATATGCCGTATATGTCCAAAGCCTTTTTCAAGCGATCGTTTTACCTCCAAGTTTCGGGAAGAAACACGCGAATTAACGTGTAAGTATCAGGTTGGTTGAAAAGGGGAAAAATCTATAGAATTTTAAATCTAGTAGGCTTGGAAATAGCCTGAGCCATTGTTATATATATAAACTTTGTATTTTTGGTATATATTGGGGATGTTGCCGTTGATGTTGTAAATTCACCATTCTACTCTACTACCGCTTTTTCTACTTACGAAGAAACTGAATGACCAACAAAGTGTAGAATCTGATAGTATTTGTACACGTGTCCACATTTACGTAATTCATGCTTCATCAAGTCACCGGTAAAGATACATAAAAAAAGGCGATTGGAGTTATAAAATGTTTTTCATACATACTGTTTTCGATATCAAGATAATCACCATATTTTGAAATGAATCTATATTGATAAGGACTGATAAATTTATATCTATGGTTACACCCAAGAAAATCCACTTTTAAACTACATTATAATGATTACAACATTTCTCTTAAATTAAATGAGTGGAAGATTTGATAAGGTCAACTCTAAGATCATTAGAAATTAGAAAAACGTTCATCTAACACCACTTCAACCTAACCTCATATAATATAAATAACGTTAAATTAGGCTCTTTGAACGGTTTTGTGATAGAACTTGAAGACTTGTATGAATTGATTTACTGCTAATGCTTCAGTAATTTCGAGTGTCTTGGTCGTCACTTCTACAAGATTTTGTAGGACTTATCAATATATAATAAGCTGAAGTAAGCTTTAGTGACGACGAATCACGTCCAAGTATGCACTGACGAATCACAGCCCAGAATATAAAGGATAAAGTTATTCGAGAAAATGGTGCCTAATTTACAATTTATCGATTTGTTTCCAGTGAGAAATAAAAATATATGTAGATTTATCAACAGGTTTATCATCTTTGAAGACATACCAGTGTCTATATTGCTAGTAAGTTTTTTCAGTACCTTATACTTCACTAAGCCACACTATATTATTATCATTTGTCCTCTGGGTTCCTAGTGGAACATAAGGATTCACTAGCACGTCTCCATTTCACTCTATTCTCTACCGTCTTTTCAACCTGGTTCCACGACTGCCCCGAAATAGTCTTCTCAGTCTATGCCCGATTCATCTCCACTTTCTTCTGCATATTTGCTGGGCGACAGCTTCATTGGTGGTTCGTTGCCAGCCGCAGTGACTTCCTTGTTGCTTATTCGTTCTGGACATCCATCTGATCTGCAGTGTCAGTTTCGAGTGAGCGTAGGCGACAGTTGTTCATGTATGTATGCAGTTGTTTGGTGGAAGTGCTTTTCGTGAGGCATCGGCAAGTTTCTCAACCATATAGCAGCACTGACTTGATTGAATTGGTGTTGAAAATCCGGATAATGTTCGTGTTTTATGCTGAGTACAGTGCAGTGCAGTAGATCTCCACACTGATTTCAGATTGATGAGGGAAGGCCTGTCATGCTCTCCTTCCTACCCTGGCTGCTTTGACATACTCATCTGTGCCACCACTGTCGGTATTTGAGACGATGCTGCCTTGTGAAGGAGACAACTTCCTTCAGATTTTTCCCATCGATGGTGATTGGTGCTTGTTGTTGTTTAGGTATCTTCATCACCTCTGTCTTCTCTACGTTCACCTGAAGTCAGCCCCGTTTTCCCTACCTCTTCTGTCAACTTGTTGATTTTTGCCTACAGATCTTCGAGTTTGTGCGACAAGACATCAGACATAAATCA